AGATGTGTTTGAGATAATAGTGATACTTGCCCAGTTTAGATGTGCTGGAGATAATAGTGATACTTGCCCAGTTTAGATGTGTTTGAGATAATAGTGATACTTGCCCAGTTTAGATGTGTTGGAGATAATGGTGATATTTGTCCAGTTCAGATGTGTTTGAGATAATAGTGATACTTGCCCAGTTTAGATGTGTTTGAGATAATAGTGATATTTGTCCAGTTCAGATGTGTTTGAGATAATAGTGATACTTGCCCAGTTTAGATGTGTTTGAGATAATGGTGATACTTGCCTTTTTCAAACTTGTTTGAGTTCATAGTTAATTCCTATTTAATGTGATAAACTACAATACTATAATCAATGACTAAATAAATTAGGATTTCTATATTGAAATAGCTCAGTATCAGTACATAGCCAAAATTAGTATAAACTCATTCTCCCCAGTAATTTCATAATGAACTATTCCAACCTTTGAATTGGAAGAGCTCAAATGTGTCTTCAGGGGTGAAAGTTAAAAGAGTTACCTTTATGACTGTGACAGAAACCTCCTTTCCAAGATTTCCATGCTTAACACGTAAAACACTTTTGCAGCATGGTCATTTTTACTTTATTGATTGATTTATGACACATATTTATATATAATATGAACAAGGGATACAAGAATGCAGATGTAAGTTGTCTGATTTACTTGCTATAAATGTTAGTTGAAAAATGACTTTATGGAGTTTGAGAGAAATTACAGGTTCAATGATAACACGTTCCATCAAGTTGGTACTGTTTGAGAGAAATTACAGGTTCAATGATAACACGTTCCATCAAGTTGGTACTGTTTGAGAGAAATTACAGGTTCAATGATAACACGTTCCATCAAGTTGGTACTGTTTGAGAGAAATTACAGGTTCAATGATAACACGTTCCATCAAGTTGGTACTGTTTGAGAGAAATTACAGGTTCAATGATAACACGTTCCATCAAGTTGGTACTGTTTGAGAGAAATTACAGGTTCAATGATAACACGTTCCATCAAGTTGGTACTGTTTGAGAGAAATTACAGGTTCAATGATAACACGTTCCATCAAGTTGGTACTGTTTGAGAGAAATTACAGGTTCAATGATAACACGTTCCATCAAGTTGGTACTGTTTGAGAGAAATTACAGGTTCAATGATAACACGTTCCATCAAGTTGGTACTGTTTGAGAGAAATTACAGGTTCAATGATAACACGTTCCATCAAGTTGGTACTGTTTGAGAGAAATTACAGGTTCAATGATAACACGTTCCATCAAGTTGGTACTGTTTGAGAGAAATTACAGGTTCAATGATAACACGTTCCATCAAGTTGGTACTGTTTGAGAGAAATTACAGGTTCAATGATAACACGTTCCATCAAGTTGGTACTGTTTGAGAGAAATTACAGGTTCAATGATAACACGTTCCATCAAGTTGGTACTGTTTGAGAGAAATTACAGGTTCAATGATAACACGTTCCATCAAGTTGGTACTGTTTGAGAGAAATTACAGGTTCAATGATAACACGTTCCATCAAGTTGGTACTGTTTGAGAGAAATTACAGGTTCAATGATAACACGTTCCATCAAGTTGGTACTGTTTGAGAGAAATTACAGGTTCAATGATAACACGTTCCATCAAGTTGGTACTGTTTGAGAGAAATTACAGGTTCAATGATAACACGTTCCATCAAGTTGGTACTGTTTGAGAGAAATTACAGGTTCAATGATAACACGTTCCATCAAGTTGGTACTGTTTGAGAGAAATTACAGGTTCAATGATAACACGTTCCATCAAGTTGGTACTGTTTGAGAGAAATTACAGGTTCAATGATAACACGTTCCATCAAGTTGGTACTGTTTGANTATTGTCTTATATATAGTGATTAGGGTACCATTGTCTTATGTCTAGTGATTATTTGTTGCAGCCATGTACGAACATAAAATCTTTGTACAAGGAACGATCTGGGACATCAACTCGTATGACCAATGGGGGTAAGTTCACTAGACATGGCCTCTGATTGTTGATAATATGGCCATGTGACATGGACTAATAACTCATGATTAACATTTATATTATCAACAGCCGAGTGTGTCCATGTCCTAAGTTCTGTCATTATAAGCCTGTTGGAGTGCTTGTCTCTGTCTATGTAATGGGCTAGGCTATAATTCATTCTGAAAGCAAAGCTAAGCTGATTATTGTGAGCAATCAAGAGGCTTCTGGAGAAATTTCTGTATCAAAAATGAACAAGAGGCTACAATCTGTTAAGAGCAGAGCTTAATACCAGTAAGCGCCACCCCACAATTCTCCCCGGACTCGTACACAAAATGTACAAGTTTAGGTAAGAGTACCTATATTAGATAGGTCTGTAACAAAGTGATGCACAGACATTTTGATATAGTGCGTACCTATGGACTGATAAACATGAAAACTATGAAACAGTCATTTATAAATATTAGGGCCATCTTCGTTACTCATCATACCATCATTTCTAAAAGGGATGATCTTTATGTGCAATGCTTGTTTGTTATAGAGTTGAACTGGGTAAACAACTGGCCAAAGTGATCCAGCCCGAGTTAGCTGGGAAGGACCTGGTGTCCAGTCACGATTCCTCAACCAACGGTCTCATAAACTTCATCAAGTCACACTAAAAACATCAGAGGTCAAGGTCGTAATCCTACCCAGGGTCAAGGTCACCAGCCTGTCACTGATCAAGGTCACATGGAACACTGGATTACCTCCCTTAGACTTTATATTAGGCCCATTTGTTCAAAGTTTTAATAGCTGAAACAAAACAACTGTCAAAGTGGAAGGTTTTGTGAAGTTGACATTCTTCATAAAAATTGCATTTATTAAAGCTGCTACAATACTGCCAACCGCAAATGTCCACACCACAAATAATTTGATGTGTGCAAACTAAACAAAAAGTTACTGTTTTACAGTATCTGGTGTATGACTGTGTAAATACAAGGGCTATATGAAACATTGATAAACTGGGCCCTTAATAACTGTCAAAGGGTACCGAATCTCAAAATACATTGGACGGTTTGATACTTTATACAGATATGTGGAAGTTGTTGTTCAAAAATAAATTTCAGCCTCATATTGACATTTTGTGCCGCATGAAGTATATGTGTTAACTTGAAGAAATAAAAATTATTCAGTTATGTTATAGCTTAACCTCCGGACTGTTTCAATAATAAGTGTAGGTGAGGGGGTGGGAGGCACTTTTTCAGGGACCCCACCACCCATGAAATATCAAAATTGTTTAAATATCAGGAATGGCAGGCAGAGCTGGATATAAACCCATCACCAATAACATATCGACATATGTGCCTCCCACCTCCCCCAGACAATTACATGTTGTATAGCCCTAACCTGATATCAGTTCAGGAACCACTAGGTAAGCTACTGAACTGGAAGGTTTGAATGTTTACCTTACATGTCATTCCTTGAAGAAAAATCAAAATCAAATTACATTTAATAAAGATCCTCTATCTCAGACCAGTAGCAGTACTGTGTAATGATTGAAAATGTATTTTCATGTCTAATAAAAAAAATAAGACTTGAAAAGAGTGAAATCATGTAGAAAATGTGAAAAAGGCTGGATATTCTGTTCACAATTTTAAAAGATTGTGAAATTTAATGATGTGGGATGGAATGTTATTATATTTTCATTGGATGAAATCTGTCAAAGAACTGCTGTGAACTGTTATACTTCTGGCCCTGTTTATGTCCTCTAAGTTTGAAAAGAAGGTAAAAGTCAACAAATACCAGAAAGTAAATTGTAACTTAAAAAACAAACAACTATGGTATAGCCTTCGAACCATGAACTTGTGCACCAGTTAGAGCTAGTCTCCTTAAAAATAGAACAAGTTTTATGAATTATTTACTTTTTACATACAATGATGGTAATCATTGGGAAATCACTCAGTTCCAGAGGTTAGCCATGTGTGCATTAAGACGGGAGACCGGGTAAATTCTGTTCGAAAGACCAGAGGACAAAAATTTGGAGGGCTGAAATTATAGTGGTTTGGATTGTCGCAGGAAAAAGGTGCAATTTTGAATTAAGATATGAAACCAATTTTGTTCTGTTTGTATATTTGTTTTAATGTAAACCTCTTACATATAGTTTGATGACCTTGTTTTGATTTGTAGCCTGCCATGTTAAGCGTTATATGTACATGTCAAGTCTCGCTCTAATAAATGTTTATATCAAACCAATTTGTATGGGCTGTAAAAAGATCTGGTTAGTAGACACAATGTATTCCTCCTCCTGTTGGTGTCGTTTGTCATCAGAAGATCGGTGGGATTGGACCATCTGGGTCATTAGGGAAAAAAACGATTTAAGTTCAACATATATTTGATATGGAGGAAAATTTGAGTTTTAAGAAGAAAAGTGATATTAGCCAAAATGTGATGTTAGCTAGCATGACAATAAGTGGATTTGTTAAGTTTTGTATTGATAAAATGTTTTAGTTTTGGGGTTCTTTATTTACATAGTAAAAACGTAGCTGAAAATATGTCTATTTTCTGGATGTGTTATGTTGGAAATTCTGATAGGGTTGTAACTTCAATCTACAGCTTATTTTAATGTTAATCCTGGTTTCTGTTTTTGTAGTTTTATACAAATAGTAACATTCAATTTGAAACAGTGAAATCAGCAATGTTAAATGGGCGATAGCGAGTGACTAGGCAGTCTGTTTTGTTTGTGTTTATGCTTCATTTTGAATATTTTGGTACATACTTTACTACATGTATAAAAAAAGATTTACGCAACTTAAGAACAATTAAGAAAAGTTACTATAAAAGAATTGATGTGACTTATTATAACAAAAGAAACATGCTTTAGTTTCAATTCACAAATTGCATAACTCATTCCCCCCTGAAGACACATTTGAACCCTTCCTATTCAAAGATTGGAATAGTTCATTTTGAAATTTCAGGGGTGAATGAGTTTAGATGTTATTTCAATATTGAGAATTAGTTTATCTTTACATAAAAGAAGGGAGAGACAATGGCTTCAGTTTATGTGGTGCAAATTATTATCTGGCTTTACTTGGTGCAAATATATGTCTGTAATTACGTGGTTCAAATGATGTGTGGTGCTTCTTTGTGCAAATAATGTCTTATATAACGTTGTGCAAATAGAGATATATACTTGTCTCGTAGTAAGTGGTGAGCAAGTTTGTGATGTCAACTATTTATGTTCCCGAGTTCTGATAACAGAATGATAGGGTTTGTGTATGGTAAAACTATAATGGTGTCGCTTAAAACTTCTAAATCTGTCTTGAATTATATATAGGTACTAACATACATTTCATAAAGTCCCAATGCAAGTAATTATGTGTATTGATTTATAATCTGGAAATAAAATCAAATGTTAGCGCATCGTGTGGGCTGGTTTTGTTTTTGTATGCCCATCAAAAAGTTTGGTGGCCCTAGTAAATGAATCTGGTGTTTATACTTAAAGAAATTATGACCAACATTCACATTCACACCAAGTGTCTTAAGGATGTACTCTCCTGAGGTTTCAATCACGTTCAAGTCTCGTTTTGATCTGGTGAAACAGGTTTTTGTAATATTTAACAAATTATGATCAAGTTTATTAGCAAACACGCATCTGAAAAATTTGTCAAAAAACTAGATCCCTGTTGTTTGTAGACCTTTTTTACAAAAATTAAAAAAAAATACCAAGTAGGTGGCCATTTTGATAATGGGTATTATTGTGTATTTCTTGCGCTTCAAAAAAGGAAAAAAATACTTTTTTTGACACTAGATTGATCACTTAAATTGTCATTGTGTTGCAATTTTTAATTGTAGCAGGTTCAATTTTGCTGTACAACTTTATTATGTTTAATATGATAAAAAAAATATGCAACAAACTGGAAAATTATACATTTAATATTGATATTTTTTTTTACATATTTAGTGTAACTTGAGCACTTTTGATTTTTGACCCTGAAAAAGGTAAAAAATAACACATGATAATGGGACAAAAAAAGAAGCACACTGACCCCCTATTTTTGTGGATGTTTTAGAAAGAGAAACACATTTTATTTTAATTCATTAAATATTAAAAAAAGTTTAATAGCAGAACTTTTTATATCAAGCATTTAATCTGCAAAAAATGGTAAAAATGAGTATTTTTTCATTAAGGGGCAACTAAAACCGGCTTTCCGAGTTAAAAGAATAAGATTAAGAAATTTTACTTCCATATAATTTAAAAGAAAATAATATTTTCATCAATTCTACAAACATTCCTACATATCTGATAACACACTTGGAAGAAATTGTATGAATTTGTTCTGCAAGTGGTCAAAACCCAAAAATCACCTAAAATCACGTTGTGTTTAATCGGTTTTTTTGACCGATCATAGCTCAAAACGAACACACGGACATCTGTTTTTTTTTGCATTTTCTACTATGCCATTAACTCCCTTTTTCAACAAAAGGCCCATGGGCCTTAACGGCCACCTGATATATTTAAACAGAGAGTTGATTTTGTTTTTAACACGAACAGAAATATTATTCATAGTGACAAAAAACAATAAAACCACCTTATTCAATATCTAGCATACAGATTTAGACTAAAAAGTATTTGAAACTAGCACCTCTGATTCTAACCAAGGAAAATGAAGAAATTTTAGCACACTGACTCCTTTGGGCCCCACCCTACAGCCCATGGGGGTAGGGCTGGCTCAAAATTTTCATAGTATCAAACTGTCAACTCAAGGTTATAATTCCAATCAAGTTATTAACATGTAATATTCAAAGTATCATTTGCCATTATAAACCATAATGAATTTTGCCCCCCTCCTTCCCCAGGGGGTAAATGTGAGACCCTAGCTGATCATAAACCTTAAGACCCTTCCATCTATGAAGAGTATTTGATTCTACCATATCTTGGTCTGGAGAAGAAGCTTTTTGAAATTTCAGTCAATTCAACCCTTTTTGGCCACACCCATCAGCCTCGGGGGTTCAGTCAGGGCTCATATGTGCATACCATCAAACTGCTACCCAATACTGATAATGCTAACCTAAATTGAATTACTTCCAATGGAAATTAAACAAATGTTGGTCCAAAATGTGATTTCCTTATATAAACTATAGTAAAGTTTATCCCCTGCCCAGGGGGAAACATGAGACCCCAGGGTCAAGAAATTCACAGTTTTGGTAAAGCACCTTAAGACCCTTCTATCTATGAAGAGTATTTGATTCTACCATATCTGGGTCTTGAGAAGAAGATTTTTGAATTTTTTGTCAATTTGACCCTTTTTTGCCTCGCCCCTCAGGCCCCTGGGGGCTGGAGACCAAACCGGCCCCTATTTTTGTTGACCTTTGGCCATGGAAGGTTTCTGCAAACTTTCATTGAAATTGGTTCCGGGGTTTTGGAGAAGAAGTCGCGATAGGTCACTTGAGACTTTGTCTCAGGTGACCTAAAAATCCATATAAGAAAAAAAGTTTAATACAGGATTTTTTTGACTAGTCAGAGGTGTACATCCTTAAGACATATTACAAGCTATTCTTTTAGTATCAGTAAGAATACAAAGCACAAAATAAGACAAAAACATTTATTCATTCAACGCTTCAACTAAAATAATGTACACATTTTCTGGACTTCAATATTAAAAGTTATCTCTTCAAACAATTGTTCTTACTGATGTTTATAAATATATGAAATCACGTGAAATATTGTCCACAGTCACACTTGTGTTTGTCCAGCTGAGTCACTGTCAATGGCTGCTGGTCGGCCTATTTTTTGTCCACTGGGAAAAGTTTAGTCTTCTTGATAGGTGTTCTCTTCAGACCAAGTGCCATTGACTTCAGGTAGGAAAATTTATGTCGTTTGTAGTAATATGCTACGATGGTGAATATAAGGAAAAGAGGTATTGCCTGAAAACAGAAGAAAAAGTCAATGATAGGTGGCTTATTGGTGCATTCTTAAGATTGTGGCTTATTGCAATTGGTGCATTCTTAAGATTGTGGCTTATTGCAATTGGTGCATTCTTAAGATTCAAACTCGTACTGTATACCAGGAAAAGTCAATGATAGGTGGCTTATTGGTGCATTCTTAAGACTCAATCACCCTTTTCCTGTAAAATCCATGTTTGTCCAGAGTTAATTTCATCCTTTACAAGTGATTACTATATATGACCTGGTGTGTACTAATATTCACTGTCATGATAAATTTGCCCTCATTTGGGAGCCTGAAAAGGCGACATTAAACTTGACAAAAGATTCCCGGTGTACAGTATTTAGTGTGTAGATTTGGATCATTTTTTCTCTCTCATTTCCAGTAAGTAGATACTTAATATACAAAATCTTTGGTGCATTGAAAACTAAAGAATAAAAAAGAAAAAACCTTTTCTAGATAATAGTTTCAGCATTATAATATTGTAGAAAGGTGCATGGGTTTTTATTTTTTCTGAAATTGTATTAAATATTGTGACAGTACATTTATTGAAGATACAAACAGCTTTTTTAGTTGGTCCCTTAAGTTTTTTCCCTTACTATAAAAATCCAGATTTTCATTTCTCTTTCCTGTTTGTATGTTATACAATCCAATCTCCAAATACACAGGCTAAAACTGTTAAACAGCGCCGACAAATGCAACCAGATGTGAATAACCTCATTCATAATATCTGTAACAGGTGTTTGTTTTTCAAGTTGCACAGTAGTTTCACCAACTGACCAAGCTATGAAGACCCAGATTTAAATGTAATAAGTATACATGCTTGCTGACCAAGCTATGAAGACCCAGATTTAATTGTAATAAGTATACATGCTCGCTGACCAAGATATGAAGACCCAGATTTAATTGTAATAAGTACACACGCTTGCTGCCTAAGCTATGAAGACCCAGATTTATTGTAATAAGTATACATGCTTGCTGACCAAGATATGAAGACCCAGATTTAATTGTAATAAGAACACACGCTTGCTGCCTAAGCTATGAAGACCCAGATTTAATTGTAATAAGAACACACGCTTGCTGCCTAAGCTATGAAGACCCAGATTTAATTGTAATAAGAACACACGCTTGCTGCCTAAGCTATGAAGACCCAGATTTAATTGTAATAGGTATACATGCTTGCTGACCAAGCTATGAATTGAAATAAGTATACATGCTTGCTGACCAAACTATGAAGACCCAGATTTAATTGTAATAAGTAGACATGCTTGCTGACCAAACTATGAAGACCCAGATTTAACTGCATAAGTATACATGCTTGCTGACCAAGCTATGAATTGAAATAAGTATACATGCTTGCTGACCAAACTATGAAGACCCAGATTTAATTGGAATGAGTATACATGCTTGCTGACGAAGCTATGAAGGCCCAGATTTAATTGTAATAAGTACACACGCTTGCTGCCTAAGCTATGAAGACCCAGATTTAATTGTAATAAGAACACACGCTTGCTGCCTAAGCTATGAAGACCCAGATTTAATTGTAATAGGTATACATGCTTGCTGACCAAGCTATGAAGACCCAGATTTAATTGTAATAGGTATACATGCTTGCTGACCAAGCTATGAAGACCCAGATTTAATTGTAATAAGGATACATGCTTGCTGACGAAGCTATGAAGGCCCAGATTTAATTGTAATAAGTACACACGCTGGCTGCCTAAGCTATGAAGACCCAGATTTATTGTAATAAGTATAAATGCTTGCTGACCAAGATATGAAGACCCAGATTTAATTGTAATAGGTATACATGCTTGCTGACCAAGCTATGAATTGTAATAAGTATACATGCTTGCTGCCCAAACTATGAAGACCCAGATTTAATTGGAATGAGTATACATGCTTGCTGACGAAGCTATGAAGGCCCAGATTTAATTGTAATAAGTACACACGCTGGCTGCCTAAGCTATGAAGACCCAGATTTAATTGTAATAAGTTCACACGCTTGCTGCCTAAGCTATGAAGACCCAGATTTAATTGTAATAGGTATACATGCTTGCTGACCAAGCTATGAAGACCCAGATTTAATTATAATAAGTACACACGCTTGCTGCCTAAGCTATGAAGACCCAGATTTAATTGTAATAGGTATACATGCTTGCTGACCAAGCTATGAATTGAAATAAGTATACATGCTTGCTGACCAAACTATGAAGACCCAGATTTAATTGAAATAAGTATACATGCTTGCTGACCAAACTATGAAGACCCAGATTTAATTGAAATAAGTATACATGCTTGCTGACCAAACTATGAAGACCCAGATTTAACTGCATAAGTATACATGCTTGCTGACCAAGATATGAAGACCCAGATTGAATTGTAATAAGTACACACGCTTGCTGCCTAAGCTATGAAGACCCAGATTTATTGTAATAAGTATACATGCTTGCTGACCAAACTATGAAGACCCAGATTTAATTGTAATAAGTATACATGCTTGCACTGAATTGCTGAACACCAGTTGACTGTCTTCCTGGCCCCACTTCCCCACTATCTGGAGGCCCCCTGCGGCACACATTACCTTGTAACTGACCCATGATTGCCATTACCCTTTTACCTACATCAGTAACTCAAAGGCAACGTATGACAATACCTTTATTCCCCAAACCTTCCTCTCATCAAACTCGGGCTCACCGACCCACTTGAGGAAGGTGATGACGTCCTTCGCTAACTGACTCTTGGTGGCAGGTGTTCCTGAAATCAAATATACATCCTGTTAATCCGACACACAGGGAGGTACAATATTAAGTATACATCCTGTTAATCCGACACACAGGGAGGTACGATATTTATTAAATATACATCCTGTTAATCAGACACACAGGGAGGTACGATGTTTATTAAATATACATCCTGTTAATCAGACACACAGGGAGTTTTAACCCACAGGCAGAGATTTTGAACAACTCTTAATATTTGAAACCCTCACTAGCTGTGATTTAATACTAGTCCTGAGTATATTCACAGACTATTGGAATTGCAAACCTCTGGTACCAATACATCAGACAATATCTCATCAACATCAAAACATGTCTTGCCTGTGCCCCGCTTTGACCATCAATGCACATGTCAATTTTGGTTGGTCTAGCACTTATATAGTTTCAGAGAAAATAACTTAAATGCAAAAACTTAATGTTGATGGAGATGCCGACAAAGTCAATGGACCATGAAAGGTAGGCCACATCCAGCATTTGATGCATGGGTTGAGATGTACTATCCAAGATGCATCTATTGTCCAAGTTTGGTTGGTCTAGCACTTATACTTTAAGTGAAACTAACTTAAACGCAAAAACTTAATGTTGATGCTGTCGCCGGAAATGCAACACTTTAGTCTCGCTTCCGCTGGTGTTATATAGATCAATTGTGTTACGCCACATTATAACTAAGTTTGTATTACACTTACCATCCTCATATTGTATAACTTCATTGTAGAGAGGGGGAGCCATGGCTAAGACGCCTCCTGCAAAGTAAGGGTTATAATACTGGCCCTCGCCCAGTTCTAGTCCAGCTGGGGGGTCAGAGTATCCAGTCAGCAATGAGAAGATGTAGTCCTGAAATATTTTAAAAAGTAATGTTCTGATTTTGTTATCAGTTTATATTTCATATTTCCCTCAGCAAGGGAACTTATTCTTATAATGAAAAATTCACAGATCAATTGTAAAATTTGGAAGACAAGAAAAAATACATCCTTTTTTAGTGAAAAATAATTGTTGAATCTTTTTATTTTATTTTTGATAAAGTTTTGCAAGTAGGAGAAAACTACTCATTAGTAATAATCCTTATAATTTGTTTTGTTTTGTGTTTTGTAATTTTTTGCCTCCGCATAAGTGAGACATTTTCTAAGGGGAGGGACATAATAGTTTGAGGAAATATTTCATTTTCAATTTATTGAATAATTTCCCAAAACAATACCCAATACTTTAATTTTCTAAAAAATTATTTATGGAATTCGACTGATAAAATTGAAATGAGTGAAATATCATATTGCAACGTTTATTACACTCTCATTTTGTTTAATTCTTTAAGGCATCCTGATATAAATGGGAATAATATCTTAACTTAGTGAGTCATTTTTAGATAACATTTTCCACAATTTTTTTCGACAAATCCGGTTTTAGCAAATGTTATTGTCACTTAAGTTAGTAATTATTGTGGTGATAAATGGTTTTGGTAGTTGTTTGTTGTTAATTATAACAATGATTTCTCACATGGTTATCCAGATGTATTGTGGTCGTCAGAGATCTACCTCTGTGGCCTCTTTAGACATTACAATGAAGGACATATCTGGTGGTGCTGCCCCATTGACCTACCTCTGTGACCACGTTAGACAGTACAATGAAGGACATATCTGGTGGTGCTGCCCCATTGACCTACATATGTGGCCCTTTTAGACAGTACAATGGAGGACATATCTGGTGGTGCTGCCCCATTGACCTACCTCTGTGGCCACTTTAGACAGTACAATGAAGGACATATCTGGAGGTGCAGCCCCATTGACCTACCTCTGTGGCCTCTTTAGACAGTACAATGAAGGGCATATCTGGTGGGGCTGCCCCATTGACCTACCTCTGTGGCCTCTTTAGACAGTACAATGAAGGACATATCTGGTGGTGCTGCGCCATTGACCTACATATGTGGCCTCTTTAGACAGTACAATGAAGGGCATATCTGGTGGTGCTACCCCATTGACCTACCTCTGTGGCCTCTTTAGACAGTACAATGTAGGGCATATCTGGTGGTGCTGCCCCATTGACCTACATCTGTGGCCCTTTTAGACAGTACAATGGAGGACATATCTGGTGGTGCTCCCCCATTGACCTACCTCTGTGGCCACTTTAGACAGTACAATAAAGGACATATCTGGTGGTGCTGCCCAATTGACCCACCTCTGTGGCCTCTTTAGACAGTACAATGAAGAACATATCTGGTGGTGCTGCCCCATTGACCTACCTTTGTGGCCACTTTAGACAGTACAATGAAGGACATATCCGGTGGTGCTGCCCAATTGACCTACCTCTGTGGCCTCTTTATACATTACAATGAAGGACATATCTGGTGGTGCTGCCAAATTGACCTACCTCTGTGGCCACTTTAGACAGTACGATGAAGGACATATCTGGTGGTGCTGCCCCATTGCCCTACCTCTGTGGCCTCTTTAGACAGTACAGTGAAGGGCATATCTGGTGGTGCTGCCCCATTGACCTACATCTGTGGCCCTTTTAGACAGTACAATGGAGGACATATCTGGTGGTGCTCCCCCATTGACCTACCTCTGTGGCCACTTTAGACAGTACGATGAAGGACATATCTGGTGGTGCTGCCCCATTGCCCTACCTCTGTGGCCTCTTTAGACAGTACCATGAAGGGCATATCTGGTGGTGCTGCCCCATTGACCTACATCTGTGGCCCTTTTAGACAGTACAATGGAGGACATATCTGGTGGTGCTGCCCCATTGCCCTACCTCTGTGGCCACTTTAGACAGTACAATGTAGGACATATCTGGTGGTGCTGCCCAATTGACCTACCTCTGTGGTCTCTTTAGAAAGTACAATGAAGGACATATCTGGTGGTGCTGCCCAATTGACCTACCTCTGTGGTCTCTTTAGAAAGTACAATGAAGGACATATCTGGTGGTGCTGCCCCATTGACCTACCTCTGTGGCCTCTCTGGCCAGTACAATGAAGGACATATCTGGTGGTGCTGCCCCATTGTTAGCAGCCTGTGAAGCCTCTTTATTGGGATAGGGTGCGGGGAAAGGATCTAGAGATTTTCCGGGTCGTTCAAACATGTTCCCGTCTCTGTCTGGCCCATCCAATGTCATTATCTGTAGACAGGAAGCACAAGATAAATAAAACATTATCTGTAATGAAAATTTAAAAATGAATTTCAAGCACTTTAAAGCACATCTTTGCATTTCTCAGGTCTGAGATTTCAAATATAGGATATAGCACAAAACAAACTGTATCAGATTTCAAACATTTGAATTATTTATCTTTTACGATAAATCTAAATAAACAGACAAGTTCAACACTGAAACACACACAGAAATGGAAACAGTTTAATTGTCTCTTAATAATTTCAGCCCTATTTAATGATTATGAAAATATAGCACTTTCCTACATACACTTATTTTCCAGTCCTTTTTCCAACACTAACCTCAACTACAGCACTGAATGAACTACATGAACAATGTTCTGTATATCTGTGTGTATATAGGTACTCACTTCGGATGCCTCCTTTGCTACCCTCTTTGGGGACATGAAAGTATCAGCCATGTAACGATATCGCATCGCAGTTATACTGTGACAGGCCGCACACACCTGTTTATATACTTCGTAACCTCGGCGCACACTGAAAAGATAAAAATTCCCAACAGTCTTTAAATAATTATCCAAATTGTAACTATACTGTATGTGAATTTTATCTTTATATACATCCCAAAATCGTTCACATCAGTAACAGTCAGATACAAGGTTTACACCCGACACAAGTATATGATTCTGAGCACACTATTGGTACATTTTTCTTCTTGCTATCTGAAGTAGCCTATTTGTTAGTTTATTGTATCGATGTAAACATACAAATGACCAGTTGTTATGAACCTAACATTTGTGTTCTGTCTCTTTCATACATTTTTGTTGGGCAGTTACATTGATTGTACAGGAGTCTTACCAGTTCCCCATTGTCCTCCTGTGTCTATTATCAAGGATGAGTCATGATCAATTAGACAGTACCCTACCAGAAATGACACAACAGATTACCCTGATTACAAACATATGAAAGAATACGACCAATAACATTAAATTTTCTTAATATACATCAAACACCCAATGTCCAAGTTGTTGTTCATTAATTTCATAATTTTAGTCTCATTTCGGAAAGAATATGTTCAAATGGCAAGGAAATTTTCAGGATTAAATTTACAGTTCATTTTGAAAAATAGGCATTGATCATGATTATTAAATAAAATCGTTTTAATTAGGAATGGGTCCCATTATTGGCCTTGAAAATTCCCAAGATAAAGCCCTGATGTCCTGAATGATTGTTTATTTGTGAGTGTAATTATGATCGGATAGTGTAGGGTTTTCTGTTTCTCACTGAATCACTTGGATGTAATGCATGCAACAATGCAAAATAATTACAGAGATGAAACGGAACAATAATTTCACATTACTGTGCTTTGTGATAATTTTAGGTGAGCTGGTAGTCTTCCACTCAGGATTTAGAAGTCCCTACTTTCCGTAAGTGTGTAAACCATAACCCAGTCGTGTCCTGAGAATTGGGCAGCAATTTATTTAAGGACATACTTTGTCTTGTCCAAGGGACTCTTGAGACAGTCTTAGTTGGGGGATTTTACTTGTCGTGTCCACTGAACAGGACAGGGACGGATATTGTGACTAACCTTTGTCCACTGAACAGGGGATGGACTGATATTGTGACTAACCTTGGTCCACTGAACAGTACAGGGACTGATATTGTGACTAACCTTTGTCCACTGAACCTGATATTGTGACTAACCTTGGTCCACTGAACAGGACAGGGATGGATATTGTGACTAACCTTGGTCCACTGAACAGGGTATGGACTGATATTGTGACTAACCTTGGTCCACTGAACAGGGCAGGGACTGATATTGTGACTAACCTTGGTCCACTGAACAGGACAGGTATGGATATTGTGACTAACCTTGGTCCACTGAACGGGAGAGGGACTGATATTGTGACTAACCTTGGTCCACTAAACAGGACAGGGACTGATATTGTGACTAACCTTGGTCCACTGAACAGGAGAGGGACTGATATTGTGACTAACCTTGGTCCACTAAACAGGAGAGGGACTGATATTGTGACTAACCTTGGTCCACTGAACAGGACTGGGACTGATATTGTGACTACCCTTTGTCCACTGAACAGGGTAGGGACTGATATTGTGACTCACCTTTGTCCACTGAACAGAGTAGGGACTGATATTGTGAATAACCTTGGTCCATTGAACAGGATAGGGACTGATATTGTGACTGACCTTGGTCCACTAAACAGGAGACTGACTGATATTGTGACTAACCTTGGTCCGCTAAACAGGAGAGGGACTGATATTGTGACTCACCTTTGTCCACTGAACAGGGGAGGGACTGATATTGTGACTGACCTTGGTCCACTAAACAGGAGACTGACTGATATTGTGACTAACCTTTAATTTGTCCACTTAACAAGACAGGGACTGATATTGTGGCTACGATTTGTCCACTGAACAGGACAGGGATTGATATTGTGACTAACCTTGCTCCACTGAACAGGACAGGGATTGATATTGTGACTAACCTTGGTCCGCTAAACAGGAGAGGGACTGATAGTGTGACTAACCTTGGTCCACTAAACAGGAGACTGACTGATATTGTGACTAACTGTGACTTACCTTTGTCCACTGAACAGGACAAGGACTGATATTGTGACTAACTGTGACTTACCTTTGTCCACTGAACAGAGTAGGGACTGATATTGTGACTTACCTTTGTCCACTGAACAGAGTAGGGACTGATATTGTGACTACCCTTGGTCCACTGAACAGGAGAGGGACTGATATCGTGACTACCATTTGTCCACTGAACAGGGCAGGGACTGATATTGTGACTAGCCTTGGTCCACTGAACAGGGTATGGACTGATATTGTGACTAACATTTGTCCACTGAACAGGGTAGGGACTGATATCGTGCCTAACCTTTGTCCATTGAACCGGATAGGGACTGATATTGTGACTAACCTTTGTCCACTGAACAGGACAGGGACTGATTTTGTGACTTACCTTTGTCCACTGAACAGGGTAGGGACTGATATTGTGACTAACCTTTGTCCATTGAACAGGATAGGGACTGATATTGTGACTAACCTTGGTCCACTGAACAGGACAGGGACTGATATTGTGACTAACCTTGGTCCACTAAACAGGACAGGGACCTATATTGTGACTAACCTTGGTCCACTGAACAGGACAGGGACTGATATTGTGACTAACCTTTGTCCACTGAACAGGACAGGGACTGATATTGTGACTAACCTTTGTCCACTGAACAGGACAGGGACTGATATTGTGACTAACCTTTGTCCACTGAACAGGACAGGGACTGATATTGTGACTAACCTTTGTCCACTGAACAGGACAGGGACTGATATTGTGACTAACCTTTGTCCACTGAACAGGACAGGGACTGATATTGTGACTAACCTTTGTCCACTGAACAGGACAGGGACTGATATTGTGACTAACCTTTGTCCACTGAACAGGACAGGGACTGATATTGTGACTAACCTTTGTCCACTGAACAGGACAGGGACTGATATTGTGACTAACCTTTGTCCACTGAACAGGACAGGGACTGATATTGTGACTAACCTTTGTCCACTGAACAGGACAGGGACTGATATTGTGACTAACCTTGGTCCACTGAACAGGACAGGGACTGATATTGTGACTAACCTTGGTCCACTGAACAGGACAGGGACTGATATTGTGACTAACCTTGGTCCACTGAACAGGACAGGGACTGATATTGTGACTAACCTTGGTCCACTGAACAGGACAGGGACTGATATTGTGACTAACCTTGGTCCACTGAACAGGACAGGGACTGATATTGTGACTAACCTTGGTCCACTGAACAGGACAGGGACTGATATTGTGACTAACCTTGGTCCACTGAACAGGACAGGGACTGATATTGTGACTAACCTTGGTCCACTGAACAGGACAGGGACTGATATTGTGACTAACCTTGGTCCACTGAACAGGACAGGGACTGATATTGTGACTAACCTTGGTCCACTGAACAGGACAGGGACTGATATTGTGACTAACCTTGGTCCACTGAACAGGACAGGGACTGATATTGTGACTAACCTTGGTCCACTGAACAGGACAGGGACTGATATTGTGACTAATCTTGGTCCACTGAACAGGACAGGGACTGATATTGTGACTAACCTTGGTCCACTGAACAGGACAGGGACTGATATTGTGACTAACCTTGGTCCACTGAACAGGACAGGGATGGATATTGTGACTAATCTTGGTCCACTGAACAGGACAGGGACTGATATTGTGACTAATCTTGGTCCACTGAACAGGACAGGGACTGATATTGTGACTAACCTTGGTCCACTTAACAGGACAGGGACTGATATTGTGACTAACCTTGGTCCACTTAACAGGACAGGGACTGATATTGTGACTTACCGTTGTCCACTGAACAGGACAGGGACTGTTATTGTGACTAACCTTGGTCCACTTAACAGGACAGGGACTGATATTGTGACTTACCTTGCCATGTCCAAAGAAGCGAGTAAGGGTTTGTGACCCCAGGCATAATTAGGGGGATGTACTCCATGGACTGAGGCCGACACACCAGCAAACACCGCAGTACCTACTCCGATAGTCCCCACAACAGCTGACCCAACAGCAGTTTTAAGTAAAATCTGCAACAAGAAATTCAGACAATTTTTTTTGTGTATAATTCAATGACATGTATATATATAGTAGTGAGGGGGAAATATTATGTTTTATTACCCCTTTGAGAAAAATCTAGGAATCTGATTGGTTAAAAACTACAGTGTACCAAACCGCATTCGTAAATCTCAAGGGGTATACGAAAATCTCAGGGGGTATACGGTCATGTCACGTGATTCTCAGCAGTAATACGGTGGAATCACGTGCTTTTACAAGGGGTATACGGGTCACGTGTCTTTGTATCTTGCGGCCGGGCAATGGGAGACAACTCGCATTCGTCGTCTGCTTCCGGCGATGTTTACAAAATGACAAAACGTTTCGCTTCGCATACTGATGAGGAAATACTCGCCAAAAGGGCTAACTATGTGCCACAAAACACACAAAAGTCGAACAGACGAGCGGCAAACATGCTGAGGACGTATTTAAAAGAAAAGAATCAGGAAGAACAGTTCGAGGAATTTGATAAAACGAAACTAAATGAGGTAGATCTACTGTGCCATTTTTATCTTGACAACAGAAAAGTTGACGGGGAACTGTACAAAACCAATATAAAAGACTCAAAGGGGTAATAAATTCGTTACCCATTTTCCCTGCCAAAAATCCGTGTAACTAATAATATCACTTAATTACCTTCTGATATTATAATTAGCATGATAATTCTGATGTTATCAAGTACTAAATATTACTCTTAGCAAACAATTTTTTGCTTGTTGGAATGTTATACTGAAACTGCATACTACTAAGACTCACCGACTTCACTGACTTCTTCTGGACAAATTCCTTAAAAGTAGATGTCTGTGCCTGCAAAAGAACAAAGGATTTTTTAGAATTATTTTAAAAAGTAATAATTTATATATGAATGGTAATTATTCAGTCCTAGAATAGAGTTGTGAAGTAAACTTTAAATATTTTCATGGAGATGAAACTACAATGGATTAAAATTATTATTTTATAAAAGCCTGTTCTCATGCTACATTGGTAACAAAATAGTTATGGACTGTGTTGGGTGTATAACAGAATAGTTATGG